TGAAGCCTGGGAGTTGGGTATCCTGTCCAGGTCAGGCTGAGACTAGGTCCAAGCTCTACATTGATTCCCATGCCTGAACCATTGAGCCATAGCCCATTCTTCCAGTAACTGGTGGTTAGTAACCAAGGCCTCAGGTCAATAGCTCAGAATATCTCTAAATCCTGAGAGCACCCCGATGGTGATGGCGTTTAAGAGAAGATACGCAGGGTGTGAAAATGACACAGCGGCTGTGGAAACAGCATGACGGTTCCTTAAAAGAAATGAAAACTAGAATTACCATGTGGTCCCGCAGGAAGATATGAAACAAACATGGATTTTGTTGTTCTGGCAAGTAGCACAATGGGAAAGTCTAGGACAGTGATGGCGAACCTTTTGAGCTCGGCGTGTCAGCATTTTGAAAAACCCTAACTTAACTCTGGTTCCGTGTCACATATAGAAATTTTTTGATCTTTGCAACCATAGTAAAACAAAGATTTATATTTTTGATATTTATTTTATATATTTAAATGCCATTTAACAAAGAAAAATCAACCAAAAAAATGAGTTCGCGTGTCACCTCTGACACGCGTGTCATAGGTTCGCCATCACTGTTCTAGGAAGTGCAGTATCACCGTGGGTCCTGGCCTGCTGATGACACTTGGAGGGAGGATTGGGAGGGTTTCTTTAGAGAAGTGATTGCTGAACGGGGACCCGGATAATGACAACCATGCCTTTAGTCTTCTGGAAGTGGGAGCGGCTTGTGCAAATGTCTGGAGGTGGGAACATCTGGGTGCGTTTAAGACACTATCACTGCCAAAGTAAACAACGCACACATATATCATCATAGCATCGCATGTAATACCGAGACGTGAGGAGTCACCTGAACATGCATTGGTAGGGACCCAGCGACATGAACCATGGCTCGGTAACACGACTGAATCCTGGGCAGCCATTATAAATAATATATCAAGCTTTTATGCACCGATTCCACCAGGCAAAGATCTCCATGGTGTATTCTTTTTTTTTTTTTACTTTTTTTTTTTTTTTACTGCAGTCAGCCAGGAATTATCGTCAGTTACCGCTTCTGACGGCACTTCCTATTGGTGATTTCATCAGAGCAGTCAAGCTCACCATTCCCAGTACTGCTCCAGGCACCACCTGGATTAACTAACGTTGACCAAGCCAGGAGACATTTTAATGGAGTTTGTCTATGCGTACAGCTACGATTTTAGTTCCGGTTAGGCCCTATGTAACAGTTAGGGGCAACGATCTCCTAGCCACTGCAATTATGCAATGAGGTAGTGCATCATAAACACGTAAAACTACAACTGTACAACGTCAGGCAACATCAGGGCATTTAAGGAAACAAGACACCCACGTTCCATACTAAACCCCGGTAGCCTAGGCCTTACCGCTGGGCGCTGCGCCGCTCCGTCCGCGGCCCTCTTCGGTGGGTCTGCCAGTTCTCTCGGGTTGGCTCACTCCCAACGGCGAGCCCAGGCCCAGGGGCCCCGGCCTTCGGCGACCTCGGGCTCCGGGGAGCGGCGGGCCTGCGGAACAAGCACACGCCCGGCTGCGTGGCGCGGCCCCGCCAGGCTCCAGTCCCCGCCACGGCGCCCGCCCCAGGCCCACGTGGGTGGCCGCCCGTCGCCTCCGGTTAAGCTCCCCGGAAACATCTCCCAAACACGACGAAGGCACTGGCTCGCCTGCCCTGCCACCGGCCACCAGCCACCGGCCACCAGCGCCAGACGCAGAGCAAACCCGCGCCGCAGCAGCCACGGAGGAAAGCTCCATGGTGTATTCTTAAGTTTAAAAAAGTTCTACATGTGGCAGAACCCCATTTATGACAAACAAAATTATCCGCAAAATAAAGTGTGTGTAAAGATTCATATATACGCATTCATTCCTATAGAGAACGGGTGTGGGAGGAGCCATATAAGAATATCACCTGTGGAGATGGGAGATGGACAGGAAGTGATAGTCGAAGAAGTCTTTGTTTTTTTTTAATGCATGTATAGCAGTTGCCCTTTTGGCAACAGATTTCGTTTACAACTTTTGTCATTAAAAATAATGGACAGTAAACATCCCACATGCTCATTATAGAAAAATCTAGCAAGTGCTAGAAGGTATAGATCGTAAGTTTCAGATGAAGCGAGCCAGAGGTCTTTCGTTTCTTTTCAGCCGCTCTCTCAGGGCTCCTGGGAACAGAGGAGCTTCTCGCAGGCCTCAAACGTTCGCCTTGTGTGTGGTGCAATCACGGGGGCAGAGTTCAGTGTTTTTCATCAAAAGCTGCTTGTCTGGTAGACAATGTTGTTTTTCCTCACCTGCCTAAACAAGGCTTTGTGGGAAGTGGCTGTGCAAAGTGAAAGGGCTGTATCGTTTGAATGAGAAAGAGAGAGAGCGCGCGCACACGCAAGAGCGAGCAGGTGGATGGGGTGATTCTGGAGAGTTCTGTGTAGACAGCTGCCCTGTGTCTCCCAACACCAGCTTTCCCCCAACTACCTGGCACCATACAGATGGGACCTTCCGGAGGGAGAGGCGTTGGAATGCTCGGACGGACAGTCATAGCAGAGAAGTGGGCACGGGCTGCGTTGTAATTGCCTTCCTGTTGTCGCCTACATTTGCCCGGCTCTCATTCCTGGGTTGGGCACCATTCACCTCAAGGTTCCTGTCGTGCGGCCATTAAGTCATTGTTTTCTCTGATCCTGTCGTTTCTGCCAGACCCTGGCGGGAGACAAGGGCACAGTCTCCGGGACTGGGATGCCGTCACCTGGTCCTTGTGCCCGACAGCCCTCGCATGGCTGCCGGGAAGACGCACGCCTTACAGCAGCTGCACAATGGCGTCTCCCCAGACTAACGGCCCGTGGTGCTGTGTGTCCCCCCGCCCCTCAGAGCGAGCTCATCCTGCTGAGGGAGCCCCGCTGGCACCGGTTTAGGAGGAGAGGTCTAGAGAACGAGGTGGGAAGGGGGGTTGGGAGAAGGGAAAGGAGAATGGTGGCGTAGAGGAAACCGTTTCCTGACGATCAGGAACATCGCCTATTCTTTTTACTCCCCAGCAGGAGAGAAAAGCAGAACTTCCCCAGACAGGGTCTAATTGTCATTGGAAATAAATGGTTGAGAACAGGGCGATTCAGTAAATGGCATACAACTCCATCCTCTGGCCTACTTCCAACTTCAACTGCTGCGGTGGGGACAGTGCCTATGCACTATGGCAGTCCCCCACCTCCAGCACCTGCATCTGCTCCTTAAATCTTTCCCCAGAGCGCTGGGAGCCTGCTGGGCCCACAGGTAGGCACAGCACGCAGGTGAGCTGGAGCAAACACCTCCCAGCAACCCCAACCAGTGGAAGATACACCTCCAGCTTGCCATTCTGCGGTGGTTCCCCGAAGGCTGGCAGGGAAGGAGAGACAATTCCCAAGGGCCTGGGGCATTCTTAGCTGCCTTGTGGCACCGGGAAGAAATAAAGCTTCTTATTAACATTCGAGGATGTCAGGATGGGTGGGTGGTGAAGCAGTCACAGCTCAGTGGCCCAGTATTTCTGGAGAAGCATAGATATGATCACATCACTGCTGTTTAGGATGTTTCCATTGGCTTCTCCTTGAAGTCATGATCAAGGTCAAAATTCTTTGTAGCAGACTTCAAAGATCTCATGGTTAGCCCAAGTATACATCTCCATCCACATTTTCTCTCTCTTATACTCTCTGCCCATTCATTCATTCACTCATTCACTCATCCACTCACACCTACTGGATGCCTACTGTGGGCCAGCCCTGGAGTATGGGCCACCCTGGACCTCTGAGCTCCTCCTGCTTTCTCGTACCTCAGGACCTTCACAGATACTATCCCCCCTGCAGGAACCCTTTCCCTCCACCCTTCACCAGTTAGGTGTTCCCCCAGCTCTCGGTACACTCCATCCTCCTCCTCTGTCACAACCTTCACCGTGGTAAGCGTCCAAGAGATTTAGATCCAATACTTGGAAGTTTCCAAAATGCCCGTGAGATACTTGGCCATCTCCTAGAGCACGTGTGTGTGAGAAACTAGAAGACTTCCTGTTGTCCCACGCCACAATCCGAGTGCACTCACGCCTGTTTCAGAGCTGCCTTCCTGCCTGCCTCCCCCTACACACGTCCGAGCCGCCACCAGAGTTGGGTTTGACTTTCCCTTTGTCCACTTCATGCACATCTGTATGTAACTCACCCCTGCACTTCACCTCCTGTACCTTCTCACCTGCAGCTCTGCTTTGTATTCACGCTAGGTATTCGGACTCCTGCCCGTTTAAGTTATTACCCCCTCCAGTAGCTTCCCTGGGTCAGTTCACACCAGCCATCCCCTTTCAAGGTCTGGCATCTCCCGCACGTCAATCACCGTCCACATCTGGACACAGGTGAGTCGCTGTGCATTACGATGGCAATTAAATCTTCCTCTGATCGTTCCACACTTCACTGTGAACACTTTCAGGGAGACCTGGTCTGCATCACACTTCATTGAGGGCCCACTATGTGCCAGGCATTATGTGATTATTAGAGTGTCTGGTCACAGACTTGCGGTGGGGATGAAATAGGATGCTGACCCACCCCTGCCACGCTGTCCTGTGCCTTCTCTTTAATCCTGTCGTCAGCAAAGCCAGGAGCAGTGCCCCCAGTCAACCCTCACTGATGGCCGTGGGGCTGCCAGTGGCTCCAGACGCAAGCCCTGGCCATTCCTCAGTCAAGCCCAGTCCTCCCACCGCCTCCCTGGGTGCCCAGCCCACGAAGCATTTGGGCGCCCTCCACCTGGAAAGCGATGTCCTGTATATCATCACTTAAGCCTAATTGCGAGAGGCTTGGAGGACACCCCGCACGGGGTGCTTGTACACAGGCCTGTTAGGTTGGCATATGCGTTTCATGATCTGTGGCCATCCACAGGCACAGCTATTTTTAGTTTCCTAGCAAAGGTTTGGACCAGCTCCTGGTATGTTGTTTTTTTCTCCCCTTCATTGCCTGATTGGCCACTATCTGGTGTGACCTCGCCAGGCCCAGCTGGGGGTTTCCAGAATGAATGGAGAACGGCTGGACCAAGCAGGTCGTCTGATGACTGTGCCCTCTGGTCCTGGCCCCACCAGGATGCGTTGGCGCTGGACTGAGCATTAATTGTTACCGACCTCTTAGATGAGTGGCTTGTCATCAAGTACAGAGGGAGGGTGTCATCCCTGGGCCCGGCTCTCTGCGCATGTCCAGCGAGCCCACTGCCTGCTGCTTGACAAGCCTGTGTCAAGCTTGGCCCGTGCATAGGGCTTTGCCTGTGATGTTGTCCGGGCTTGTGCTTGGGAGTTTGGCAGCAGAAATCAATTTCAGCAATGCACTGTCACAGGTTGGAGGCAGATAACATTTCAGCCATGTCCTGGGAGGCAGGTGCAGTATTTGTTAAGAGCGTGGACAGACCTGGGTTCAAATCCCATCTCTGACACTTACGAGCTCTATGGCCAGTTACTTAACCTGTTACAAAGATTAATTGAGATACTTAGCACAGTGGCTGGCAGACAGTAAGCACTTCTTTATGCTCCTTGGCAAGCATTTAGGAGCCTGTGTTCACAGTTAGTTACAGTTGATGTAGGAGAAAATGTGTCGAGGTAGAATGGAAAGACTTTGAAACCAAATTGCCTGGGTTTGATTCCGAGTTTTCCCATTTACTTTGGAAGGAATCACACTAAATAGCTAATGACTCCTGCTTCTGGGGTAAGAGCTGGTCTGGGGTGATGGTCAAAGTTATTCTAATCTTATTTGTAATATTGTGACTGTATACAAGGTTTGTGTGTTTATGTTATAATTTGTGCATGTAAGACACTGAGGATAAAAAGGAAACAGAATTGGTTACTTGAGTTTCCCAGATGTTTGTGGGCCACAGAGACGAGGCTTTATGATATTTGGAAAATCATGCTGCTTCTCCGTCTCTGTCTCTTGTGACTTGAGTGGAATACTGAGGGGACGGTCTCCATCCAGCTAGTCTGGTGGCAGCCTGCAGACCCTCCTAGGCCCAGAGCACAGTAAAATCTTTCTCTCGCCCCAAGTCCTTGCAGCTACAGAACACCCCCCTGTTCTGAAATGGGGAAGGCACCCCCACCCCCAGCCACTGGAGCCCCAC